CGAGGGCCGGGCACTATGCGTGCATGGTGGATTTGTTGGGAAGGAAAGGGAGGGTAGACGAGGCATACGAACTCATACAAAGAATGTCGGTCGAGCCGGACATGCATGTTTGGCGGGCGTTCATGGGGGCATGCAGGAGGCACGGGCGGGTCGATCTTGCTGAGGTGGCAGCGGGGAAGCTAGGGGAGCTCGAGCCAAGAAGCTCGGGCGGTGATGTGGCTTTGTTGGGGTTGTATACCGACTCCAGTCGGTGGGGAAATGTGATGGAGTTGAAGAGCGTGATGAGGAAGAGGAAGGTGAGGAGTTTTGCGAGCCGTAGTTGGATTGATGTTTTGTGATACACATGTTAAGGCTTGATGTTTTGTGATACACATGATGGATGGGTCGCCTTCGTTTTCATTTTTTCAGCCCTTTGTCTCTCTGATTCAGCCTTTCGTCGTTCCGATTCGCCCTCCTCCAAAATATGTTGTGTTTAAGTTTTCAGCGTGGAGATTTTGATTTTGAAACTCGAATTTACGCACTCGCGTGTAGAGAAGCAATTAAGCAAAGAGAATACATAGTTTGCTTGAAGATGCATCGACTCAAGCCTTATATGTTTTATCCGAGTTTTCGACTGATTTAAGGTTTTTGAACATCCTCTTGAGGTTGCACAGAAAACACTCATAGAGCAGGTGCATTCTGCATAGAAACGGCATTTGTATTGTATGTCATTTACTTTACATATACTTTCATATTAGAATTAAAATGACATATTTTTAAAACCATAAAAGTATGACATTTCACGTATATATTTTTATTAAAAAATATATGAACAGTCAATTTGCTTAACAAATTGGTCGATTTAAAGAATAAATGCACATCACCCAAGAGTGCTTGGATGTGATGGTTTGTGTCTCTTCCAGCTTAACCAGTGGTCTCGTGTTCGAGTCCTGGGAATGCAGCAGTGTTAAAACTCTTGAGGGAGAGCTTTGCCGCCCTTGTGTTCCTACCCGGCTCGATTCCGGATTAGTCGGTTCCCCTGTGGATCCGGAAACCGGAAGGTCCATGTACCAAAAAAAAAAGAATAAATGCACATCAAGAAAGAGTATATGTGAGTTTGTCTGCATTTGAGAAGCAAGATTGCGAAACAAAATTTTTGTCAGACTTGTCATATTATTCGATCAAAAATTATATTTATATTAGCAAACGTCATATTTTTGTTTATTTTGTTGGCTTAATTGCACCTAAAATTATCATTTTTTTATGTAATTGCAAATAAAATTCAACTTTTTTATTTTTACAAATAAATACCAAATTTTTATTATATGTTGCAAATTTGTCTCAAAACCATTTTTCAGTCAATCCTTGTTGACGTGTCCGATTAAAAATCTTACGTGGCACTTATGAGGTTTGTGTGACATCAATATTTGAAACTTCTCCCCATGTTTTTACCACTACCAAAACAAATTAACCAAAATTAGAATTTAGTACTAATTGAAAAAATAAGATTTTATCACCATCTTCTTGCTTCATAATCTTCATAAAAATCGAGTTCTTCTCCCCCAATTGAAGAAAAAAATATTTGCAGCGATTCTTTTCTTCTCCATGGCGCAATTCTTCACCCCCAAACATCGAGTCCCCCCTAACATTCCTAATACATTTACGAGCTCACCCCCAAATTCTGAGAAGAATCGATTTTCGAGTGATTTTTAAGCAATTTTAGTGACATAATTTGCAACACATAATAAAAATTTGGTATTTATTAGCAAAGATAAAAAAACAATTTTTATTTGCAATTACTCAAAAGGTAAAAATTTTATGTGAAATTAAACCTATTATTGTTTTTATAAATATATGATAAACTCAAAAGCACGTCTATTTGTTGAAAAAGAAAATATGTCGACCTAATAGTTAGACCCGACTAAAAATATAACTCGATCGCTATCGGACAATCTGTATGCACAGCTTGCAATTGAGAAGGAAATCCATAAGTTTCACACAAAAATCTGTATGCACAGCTTGCAATTGAGAAGAAAAACCATAAACTTCACCTAAAATAAAGTTTAGGTTTCCAATTATGTCACACTTTTAGTTCTCATTTCCAATCAAGCTATCACAAAAAAGCTAAAATATAATGCCAATTATGGTGTTTATGATACGTGGGGAAATAGAATTACGAACAAATTAAAACCCATATCAATTGATTAATTTTGGATTCATGAGAAAAATTCCCAGTAAGTCTCACCATTTTAAGTTTGAAAATAATACTGTAGTCATCATAGAATTAAACACCCAGCAAAGCAAAACAAACCAAATAAGCACACAATGTCCTAATTCTAGGATGATTTTCCATTACAAAATTATAAGGCCGTCTGTCTACTTTAAATACTTCTTATATTGATTGTTTAACTAACCAAAACACTTTTTACTCGATAATTATGAAAAAGAGTAAATTGTAATTTTCGTCCTACACGTTTTATTACCTAACTTTTTTGGTCCTCTTCGAATTGCGTTTTTTATTTTCGTCTCGTATGTTTGCAAAAAGGTTACAACAAGATCATTTCCGCAACAAAAAGGTACTTTATGTTTTGCAAAAAAAAAGGTTCCAATTTCGTCCTTTATGTATGAAAAGGACCTTTTTGTAACTTTCTTGCAAACATACGGGACGAAAATAAAAAAACGCAATTCGAAAAGGACAAAAAAGTTAGGATATTGAAACATACAGGACTAAAATTATAATTTACTCTTCAGAAAAATACTTTCATTAGAAAATATCATACTTTTATAAAAAATACACAAAATAAACGTATGATATTTGATAGTATAAGTATGTAATTTTATTTGACAACACCGACCCGCCTGATAGTTAAGCCAATCAAACAAAAATTGTGGTATTTTATATTATAGAAAAACTTTAAAGTCAAACTCCAACATTTAACTGAACTAAGTAAAAGTTAATGAAAGAGTAATGATAATAAAAAAATAAAAGGCTAATGTAAATTAGTAAAAGGAAGAAATTGAAATCTTGAATCACGATAATAATCATATATGTAAGCTGATAAATTTACAAATTAATGAAAGAGTAATTAAAAAAAAAAACGCAAATGGTAAATTATTAAAAGGAAAAAAACTGAAATCTTGAATTACAATAATCATATATGTATGCTGATAAATTTGTGCGCCACAGCACGATAGCTTTCGCTTCATCTCGATTATATATATATATTAAATGAATTCTAAAATAGTCAGAGTGGTTGTTTTTCATCAAATTTCATTCACAATAATCAATGTGAACCATTCTCAGGAAAAAAAAATAAAATAAAATTAAAAAA